GTGGGTGTGCTTGGTGTCAATGTATGTCTATGTGTAAGTAAGTAATGTTTTACTTACTTAAGTAAGTTCAGATATTGTTCCAATCATTCCACACACGGTGACGATGGAAGCGCCGACCACACTGGTGCATCAGCCCCCAATCAACACCATCCATTCACTCTCTCATTTACATTCATACCTATTGTGTGTATGTGTGGTGGTGCATTCAGACCGCAAACGCTGAAACGCTGAAACCCCGCTCACCAGACGGGCATTCTCTAGTTTTCAGACGCAGAGGACTTCACACCAGAACGTCCTGACGCGAGCCGGAAGTACCGGAAATAGCCGGCCGGCTCTGATGCTAACAGAGCTATGCTAGCGGCTTCTTGTGTACAGATCTTCTCCAATATGCAGCTTTGCAGCGTGTCTTTGCTCACAGAAATTCCACAGGCTTTATACAACAGTAATATGTGTTCACGGAGGTGCGCCATACGTGTTTTCATATTATTAAACAGTATTTCCGCATCGGTTAACACACTCGGAGCAGTTGCATAAGGTCACGGGAGCATGACAACGCATATTTTCACAAGCACACAGTCCCCCATTGTCAACCTTGGTTTGAGTTCTGGTGAAGCCTGGTGTGGGTCCTGTTTTGGCTGTTTACGAGTATTTTCAGTCCGCTCGCTCAGTCCGCTAATGTCCCCGTGACCACTTTGCTGCTCTCTGATTGGTTGTCACACGAACATCCCAAGGGAAGGATGAGCAGAATCCATCTCCTGTGGGCCTCGGCTCCTGCTCCTCCCTTTTGACTTTCCCGCCAAGTCCGTGCGCGTCTACTGAACAGTCAGTCCGAGCTTGCCGACAGGTCCATGCGTTGTGGCGTTGTGACGCTGCAACGCGCGTCACCATTGACTTTGCATTGAAACCCGACGCATCCGGTCTGAACGCGCCATGAGTCTATGAGGCGCTGTTTAGATTGCTGCAAAGCAATTATCAAAAACAACCAGCCTCTTTATTCGAGTCCACAGCGTTTATACAGTGCCTTGCGAAAGTATTCGGCCCCCTTGAACCTTTCAACATTTCGCCACATTTCAGGCTTCAAACATAAAGATATAAAAATTAAATGTTTTGTCAAGAATCAGCAACAAGTGGGACGCAATCGTGAAGTGGAACAAAATTTATTGGATAATTTAAACTTTTTTAACAAATAAAAAACTAAATAGTGGGGCGTGCAATATTATTCGGCCCCCTTGCTTTGAGAAATGGCTTTCTTCTGGCCACTCTTCCATAAAGGCCAGATTTGTGCAGTGCACGACTGATTGTTGTCCTATGGACAGACTCTCCCACCTCAGCTGTAGTTATCTGCAGTTCATCCAGAGTGATCATGGGCCTCTTGGCTGCATCTCTGATCAGTCTTCTCCTTGTTTGAGATGAAAGTTTGGATGGACGGCCGGGTCTTGTAGATTTGCAGTGGTCTGATACTTCTTCCATTTCAATATAATTGCTTGCACAGTGCTCCTTGAGATGTTTAAAGCTTGGGAAATCTTTTGTATCCAAATCCGGCTTTAAACTTCTCGGAGAACAGTATCTCGGACCTGCCTGGTGTGTTCCTTTGTCTTCATGGTTCTCTCTGCGCTTTAAACAGAACCCTGAGACTATCAAAGAGCAGGTGCATTTATACGGAGACTTGATTACACACAGGTGCATTCTATTTATCATCATCAGTCATTTAGGACAACATTGGATCATTCAAAGATCCTCACTGAACTTCTGGAGTGAGTTTGCTGCACTGAAAGTAAAGGGGCCGAATAATATTGCACGCCCCACTTTTCAGTTTTTTATTTGTTAAAAAAGTTTAAATTATCCAATAAATTTCGTTCCACTTCACGATTGTGTCCCACTTGTTGTTGATTCATGACAAAACAATATTTTTTTATATCTTTATGTTTGAAGCCTGAAATGTGGCGACATTTTGAAAGGTTCACTTTCGCAAGGCACTGTATGTATGCGTTCATGTGTGGGTGTGTGTATCTGTGTTTTAGTCTAGGTGTGTGTATATATGGATGGTTGGTGGTCGATGGGGCCGACGGCACAGACTGGTTGCATCTCTTCTGTCACTGTGCCCCAGGGCAGCCAGAAACACTGACAGTAGTAGTTCACCTCCACAGTGTTCAGCGAGAACATCATAATGAAAACATAGGAAACACCAGGAGGTTTCTTTGCTGCAGTGGAATCATATTTCGACTGAGGTCATGACATCATTCATCCAAAAGAGCTTCGCCGTCAAACCCACAACCTTGGACGGATTAAATTGTTGACGGCTGTAATCCCAGAGCAGTGGGAATAAAAGAGCAATATCAAAGTGAACTGTTCAATTTGTCTGAAACGCTCCGCCGCATCCACTCCTGGGATTAGAATCTCAGGTCTGCAGCCTTCACACGTTTAATCCAGGTCTCGTTTCACAACATTTCATTATCAAGTGATTACATTCTATTTAGACCATGAATCAACACTGCACATGGAGCAATTGTAATAAAATATCCACTTTCTGGTATAAAACTATGGATTTATCCACCAAAAATGTGGCTAAAGCGGAGGTTCAGACTGGAATCTCTATGTGCACAAACTCATTGCTCTCAGTCCTCCCACTGCTGCTGCGCCGCATCAGCAATCAGTCAAGTCAAAACAATTCAATGTATTCTTGTATAGCCCTAAATCGCAACAGGAGTATTCTCAAAGAATTTAACAAAACCGTTTAAATCGAGACCAATGTCCATGAATGTTGATAAATGTCCTTACATGTTGTAGAATGTAGTGTCCTGGCCATCACCACAGTCCTTCTTGTGTAACAGTCTAACAGACCCTGCTGCTTGGAAAAAGTCTAAAACTCAGTGGGAGAAAAGTGAGAAACCTTGGGGAGTCAATCAAACTCAGCTGGCGGCATTTGAAGTCTGCCCTGCATCAAGCATCCATTCATTTGTTCAGCAACCCTCCTCCTCCCCATCACATCATCAGCCAGACAAAGCAATCCAGTCCAGACCTGAATCCGAATGAAATAAAACTCTCAAAACTGTCATTTAATGTGACAATAGGTGATCTTCTTTTTTATAGCCCATTCCCCAGACCAACGTATCATAAACCACTAAATACTTTTTTAATACCAGTAATTTCCTTTCACTCCACATGAAGAGAGACACAGAACTCTCACAATCCTTTACTCTCTCATTATACAGGTCTATGGTCTTAAGTGATAGGGGAAATCGGAGCACCCAGAGGAAACCTACACACAGTGTTGGGGAGCAACAGAATACATGTAATGCCAATACATATTCAGAATACTTTTTGAGTAACTGTATTCCCTCACAGTTAGTTTAAAGTCTAGTTTTTAGAATGAAGTTTCTTTCTGAAAATCATGGGAATACGTATTTTCTCACATTGCTTTTTACTGTAAGGTATTTTTACAGTAAAAATTCTACTTTTTCATTGACTAATTGCAGAACATTTATTGAGGTTGTGGTTTTCTAAATATGTTGAAGTCTACCTTTCATAATTGTTAAATGCACAAAAATGTATAATAAATATAGGTCAAACAAAAAATATAATAAAAGTATACATTAAAGTATTCTAGGTATATAGAATTCAGTGTTCAGGAACGGAATACATATATTCTATCCAACACTGCACAGACACGGGGAGAACATGCAAATTCCACACAGACAGGCCTGGATGTGGAATCAAACCCAGGACCTTCAAGCTGTGAAGCCCACGCCATAACCACTACAGAGTTGTTTTGTAAAGACAAATGAGTCTCAAGAATTGTCCTTCCCACAGCGTCACTTATGCCGTGTGTATTTGTTTATTTGCCGTCACAGTCGTTCGATACTTTGAAGTCGTCTTTCAGAAAAGAATCCAGTATAAAATTCTGATGTTTGTGGTTGAAAGCAGCACAAAGGTTGTATCATAGCCCTAACCGCTATAAAAACAGGTTTCAGAAGTAAATCCAATCCAAACCAATCCACTTTATTTATATAGCACATTTCATAAACACGCAGTTTCCAAAGTGCTGCACAACATGCAAAATTGCAACAAATAAATAAATACACACATTTATATAAGAAAATACATAAATAAATAAAATAAAATAAAAAACACAGAGGACCACACGACTCACGCGGTGTTAAAAGCCAGAGAATAAAAGTGGGTCTTAAGACGTGAGGGGTGCCAGCTCTGATTGCCACCCCCCCCACCCGACCCAGAAATGGAATAACAGAAAATGACATGAATGTGTTTCTGCTGCTGGGCTTCTGAATTGTTCTATGCATCCATCTATCTATCGATCTATGTTTGTGTGTATGTATGTATGTATGTATGTTTGTATGTACTGTATGTATGTATGTATCTATTTATCTAATCTAAATATGAGTGGGATTCTCCTCACCGTCTCTCCCACAAAAGCGTTCTGTGTCTGGGTGTGACGTCCTGTTGAATAAAAGGTAAAAGAGATTACAACATTATGAAAGATTTAATACACTTCATATTTCCATTTCGAACGATTAATTACTACACAGCAATACTTCTCATCAATTTAAAACCCACAAATGAAGCTGTATAGTATAATGTCTGCTCCGTGTCTCTCACCCGCTAACAATACTCCTGCTGTCCGCGCTCCGGCCTAAAGTAGATTTACCTTCAATCACCATTTATTATTATATCTGCTCCATTAAAGTGCTGCGTCCTCTGAGCAGTCTGCTAATCCTGATTACAACAGAGAGGCCGACCCTGCACTCATCCCCACACAGACAGGCAAGGCAGGGCAGCAGGAGCATCAGGAGCTGGGGTTTGGGTCCTGGGACATGGGTCTGGTCCAGGTCTGAATGCTGCGTTCTGGTCCATGGTCTGAGGGCTGCGGTCTGGTCCAGGTCTGAGGGCTGCGGTCTGGTCCAGATCTGAGGGCTGTGGTCTGGTCCAGGTTTTAGGTCTCGTCCAGATTTGAGGGCTGCGGTCTAGGAGAGGGCTGAATCATGGAGGCGCGGGCCATGATGATGCGCAGAGGGACCTCGGGCTCCATTAAAGTGCAACGCAGCGCTTCGTCTGCATCGCAAAAGGTACGGGAAAGTGTGTGTGTGTGTAGTGTGTGTGTGTGTAGTGTGTCTAGTGGTGGAAAGATAGATATTTTAATAATATATATTACAGCAGAAACACACCCATCCAAACAAACCAATAAATACATAATTCTAAAAGTGACTAACAATAGTAATAAAGTGCCAAAGCTGGTGATGAGCTGCGTCCTCTGGTTGAGTCTGAAGAGTCTGCTTGGTTTGGACCATTTCACTGCTCTGGTTCAGAGTGAAATTCTGGTTGCTATACAGTTTTTCTTAGTCGCTTTGGTGCATTTCTCACATCACCGTTAACATTTGCACAACAGTTGGTGCATTTTTCAGAACAATTAGTGCAAGTTTTGATGTCAATGAAAAGTCCTGACACGAGCGTTTATGAACTATATACAATGCTCAAGACAGAACTACACACTGTACGGCCGAAAACTACGGTAAAGTTTAACATATTCACTATACTCTACAGCAGGGGTGTCCAAACTGGTCCAGAAAGGGCCGCTGTTGCTGCAGGTTTTCTATCAGACCCAGCAGGACCAGAGCAGACTCCTCCCATTTCCTCAAGAGACTTCAGTCTTAACCTGAAGATTTGAGGAAATGGGAGGAGTCTGCTCTGCTCCTGCTGGGTCTGATAGAAAACCTGCAGCAACAGCGGCCCTTTCTGGACCGGTTTGGACACCCCTGCTCTACAGCAGCCATTCCCAAAGTCGTTAACGCCGCGCCCCCCTTAAAAATCTGACGGTTCTGTGCGGCCCCCCGAAATATGAACCAAGAAGACAACGTTAAAAATAGGCTCTTCTCGTTATTTTATTTGGGGGAAATAGCCTCTGCTACAAACATGTAAATGACGCACCCCATTATAATACAAAAATGATTACAATTTGATTATTCAAGTCGAATAGTGAACACAAATATTTTAATATTACAAACAAAATATTATTAATTTAACATACAATAATAACTTTTTTTTTATGACCTCTATATATGCCCCCCTGCAATACCCTCGCAGCCCACCAGGGAGCCACGGACACCACTTTGGGAGACACTGCTCTACAGCATTGTGCAAAAGAAAAACTCCACAAGAAATAGCATAATGGTAGAACTGTGCACAAATGTAGACAATACATATTACTGTAAACTGAATATACATTATTCCTGGACTGCCACGCCTTCCTGTCTGTCTGGCCATGTATTTTCATCTACATCACGGCGGATGTTTTCCCTTCAAGCCAACACATTTTGACACTAGTTTCAACGATTTTGTTTGTAATGAATAAAGCAATGAAATGAGGCCTATTAGTTTTATGGGGAATGACTATTCTGCTTCATAAGTATGTTTTGTTTTGCCAGAGGTTTCTCACTGAGTTTTTTTGAGTTGTTCCATGCCAATCCAGGACATTTATGATCATCTGTTAACATTTATGGACATTGGTCATCCACCCCTTATGGACCAATGGCTCTAAGGAGAATTTCCTGAGTTTGAACGGTTTTATTCTTTGACCTCTGTTGGAGAATTAATAACTTTGTAAAGTCCTCCGAGATCAATACTGTTGTAATTTAGGGCAATGCAAAATAAATTGATTTGAATTGAATTGATTTTATTTGGCTGCAGCATGTGAATCCTGTGTGACAGACGCGAACACATGGATTACATGCAGGCATTGTTTTATATCCAAAGAGCACTGTATCATTCTAATTAATTACAGATACGGCCTGCCCCTTTCACAGATAATCCGGCCTGCAAATACAGTGGGGCAAAAAAGTATTTAGTCAGCCACCGATTGTGCAAGTTCTCCCACTTAAAATAATGACAGAGGTCTGTAATTTTCATCATAGGTACACTTCAACTGTGAGAGACAGAATGTGAAAAAAAAAATCCAGGAATTCACATTGTGGAATTTTTAAAGAATTTATTTGTAAATTATGGTGGAAAATAAGTATTTGGTCACTTCAAACAAGGAAGATCTCTGGCTCTCACAGACCTGTAACTTCTTCTTTAAGAAGCTCTTCTGTCCTCCACTCGTTACCTGTATTAATGAACTCCTTATCTGTATAAAAGACACCTGTCTACAGCCTCAAACAGTCAGACTCCAAACTCCACTATGGCCAAGACCAAAGAGCTGTCGAAGGACACCAGGAAAAGAATTGTAGACCTCCACCAGACTGGGAAGAGTAAATCTACAATAGGCAAGCAGCTTGGTGTGAACAAATCAACTGTGGGAGCAATTATCAGAAAATGGAAGACATACAAGACCACTGATAATCTCCCTCGATCGCAAGATCTCACCCCGTGGGGTCAAAATGATCATGAGAACGGTGATCAAAGATCCCAGAACCACACGAGGGGACCTAGTGAATGACCTGCAGAAAGCTGGGCCAAAGTAACAAAGGTTACCATCAGTAACACACTACGACGACAGGGAATCAAATCCTGCAGTGCCAGACGTGTCCCCCTGCTGAAGCCAGTGCATGTCCAGGCCCGTCTGAAGTTTGCCAGAGAGCACATGGATGATACAGCGGAGGATTGGGAGAATGTCATGTGGTCAGATGAAACCAAAGTAGAACTGTTTGGTGTAAACTCAACTCATCGTGTTTGGATACTGAGTTGCATCCCAAGAACACCATACCTACTGTGAAGCATGGGGGTGGAAACGTCATGCTTTGGGGCTGTTTTTCAGCTAAGGGGACAGGACGACTGATCCGTGTTAAGGAAAGAATGAATGGGGCCATGTATCGTGAGATTTTGAGCCAAAACCTCCTTCCATCAGTGAGAGCTTTAAAGATGAAACGTGGCTGGGTCTTCCAGCATGACAATGATCCCAAACACACCGCCCGGGCAACGAAGGAGTGGCTCCGTAAGATGCATTTGAAAGTCCTGGAGTGGCCTAGTAAGTAATTTAGTAAGTAATATTTATTTATATACCGCCTTTTCACTGCAGATCTGAGTCTCAAAGCAGTTTACAATTGTTATTTTTTGGGCACTTGTCCTCTCACTCCCACACAGAGATGGGAGAGGGGTCGCTGAACAGGAGGCACATGCCAATCCTATTGTACATATTTTTAGTGGTAGGGGAAACCGGAGTACCCGGAGGAAACCTACGCAGACACGGGGAGAACAGGCAAACTCCACTCAGAAAGGCCCTGGTCCGGCCGGGATTCGAACCCAGGACCTTCTTGCTGAGAGGCGAGAGTGCTATCCACTCAGCCACCGTGCCGCCCCAGTCTCCAGACCTCAACCCCATTTAAAATCTGTGGAGGGAGTTGAAAGTCCATGTTCACTGCTCTCGAGAAGATCTGCATGGAGGAATGGGCCAAAATACCAGCTACTGTGTGTGCAAACCTGGTAAAGACGTATAGTAATCGTTTGACCTCTGTTATTGCCAACAAAGGTTATGTTACAAAGTTGAATTTTTGTTATTGACCAAATACTTATTTTCCACCATAATTTACAAATAAATGTAAAAATCCTACAATGTGAATTCTTGGATTTTTTTTTCACATTCTGTCTCTCACAGTTGAAGTGTACCTATGATAAAAATTACAAACCTCTGTCATTATTTTAAGTGGGAGAACTTGCACAATCGGTGGCTGACTAAATACTTTTTTGCCCCACTGTATGCGTGAATCGAATGGATAATTATTGCATCACCATGTACCCAAAGATGGAACACCTCTGCAGCAGCCAAACAGTTCACAGCCCAAAGCCTCACATGGCTCACATGACACAGGATCAAACACTATGAATTTCAGCTGTTTTCAATTCAATACATTTCTTTGTGTATTGTCCCAAATCACATTTGCATTCGTCTTAGGGGGTTTTACAAAGTTGTCGATTCACCAACAACAGGAAATGCAACAACAAAAACACATATAGGAGCCATTGGTCCATAGGGGGGGATGACCACTGTGCAGAAATGTTAATAAATGTGTTTAAATGTCCTGGATCATCACTGTTCTTAGACCCTGCTGCACCGGCAAGGAACCACTCCAAAACCCAATTGGAAAAAATGAGAAAGCTTAGGGAGGCCAATATTGAGAGAGGAATCTGCTCCCGAGGACGGACAGGCTGTAGATCCAGGACTGAGGCTGTAGCTCCAGGACTGACGCTGTAGATCCAGGACTGAGGCTGTAGATCCAGGACTGAGGCTGTAGATCCAGGACTGACGCTGTAGATCCAGGACTGAGGCTGTAGATCCAGGACTGAGGCTGTAGACCCAGGACTGAGGCTGTAGATTCAGGACTGAGGCTGTAGATTCAGGACTGAGGCTGTAGATCCAGGACTGAGGCTGTAGATCCAGGACTGAGGCTGTAGATCCAGGACTGTTCTGTCTCTGCTCCTCAGAATCAGCTGAGGCCTAAAGCAGGAAGAATGTTCTGTCTTTAGTTCTGGTTTAGCGAGTGCACGTGTTTCTGGTGTTTGTGAATGAAGTGTGCGGCGAGCTGGCTTCTGATTGGATGGACGTGTCATTAATAAGTGATTACAGATGATCACCTGCATGTGTTTTCCCAAAGCCCAACAGGAAGTCCAAATCAGAGACGGATTTAAAAGACCGTAATGGATTTGTTTTCCAGTTTTTTGTGATTATTAGTGAAAAGATCCGGTTGTGAACCCAGAGTGAGAGGTCCTTTGTTTATGTTTACAGGCACCATATTTCCAAGATCCAAACAATATATTTTGACAATTTTTTTCATTTTAATTTTTGCCAAAATGCTTGATTTACTGTGTAGAATTAAACGTAAGTTGGCAGACTGATAGCAGTTGGTCTGAAACATTGCTATTTTGCCTATCATAAGAGAGAGACCAGAAAGAGAGAGCCCAGAGACAGAGAGACCAGAGACCAGAGAGACCAGAGAGAGAGAGAGCCCAGAGACAGAGAGACCATACAGAGACCCGAGAGACCAGAGACAGAGAGAGACCAGAGGGACCAGAGACAGCGAGACCAGAGAGAGACCAGATAGAGAGACCAGAGAGAGACCAGAGAGAGACCAGAGAG